ACTTAGTCGCCCTCAGAAATCGGGCTCTACACTTGAAAAAGTGATAAAAGCCACAGCTGAAGGAACGGAGACAAACGAGTCAGCGGGGAATAAAGAGTTAAGAACGGTGTTGACGCAGAAAGAACGCCTGCGGATGAATACTCGTGGGGTGCTGACCTGGCTAGAAAACGACGGGAGCTGGTTGGCAGTGGTTTTGAAATGTCTACGCGACAAAATGATACAAGAATGCCACCAGTCAGCCCACACAAGTGTCTCACGGACAGCGGACCTTCTCAGACAAAGTGCATACTGGCAGGCATGGGAGATGTCAAAGACGTGCTGGGCTGTCCTCACTGCCAACCGATGAAAGGTGACCAGTATATACGACCACCTCTTCAGTCAATTCCAGTAGCAGCATTTGGTTACCTGAGGTCTATGGACGTAATGGGACCGTTTCCGCAGACATTTAGCGACAACCGACACCTGCTGGTGATGACAGAGCATGCTACATGGGGGCTGTCGTAATTCCTGATCAACGCGCGAAGACAGTGACCAAAGCGGTGATTGGGCATGTTGTCACAGATCACTGTGTGCCGAGAATGAAATTTACCGACCGAGGTCCTTGTTTGGAGAGTGAAGAATTCAAATCCGGTTTGGAGCAGCTTGACATCGAGAGGATGAGAACGACACCGCACCACCCCCAGCCCAGCAGTTTGAAATAGCCGAATAACCGTATACTTAAGGAGCGGCTGGCTCTGAAAGGAGGGAATTGGGAGACGGAACTGCCGTTAATATTATTAGCGCATAGTTCCTCTGTACAGGGGGCAACCAAGAAGTCATCGTTCCAGTTTACGTTTGGCAGGGAACCATGACTCACAACACATAGTAGTATGTGTAGCGGCCAGAATCCAATAATCTTGGCCTGAACGCGGGAAATAACTAGGCGGTGCCAACTGACGTGAATCTGACTAGTTCCTGCGTTCTACTGTATAGCTTCCTAACTTCCGCGAGTGACGCGCAGTCAAAGGTTGGATTGAAATATCAAAACACGGTTTGTAGTAATTCAATAGTAGATTCGTAACAAAATCTGTGGTACTATCAAAGCAACAATAAGTTATGTCAAATTACAAAAATACCTCAACAGTGCCGTTGGGTAACTATACAGTCCAAAACGTTCTCGGGTACAAATACGTACTACACGGTAAAAACTGGTTAAAAAATACAACTGTTAAATACCTGTCGGTCAATAGGAATATTCCCGGCAAAAGGGATCAAAACTCTGTCTACAGGAATCAAATCAACAAACAAACGTTTCCAGTAGACAGTCAAAAGACAAACAGTCAAATCACTGCACAACCGTAAGTTGAACCAAAACAAAATGTCGTGCGCAGTAAAACAACATCACCTTATCAACAGTTCAGCGTCACATAATAGGAAAGTGAAACACTCATAATAAGTCTCAAACATACAAAGGCAAATACCGAGTGTAAAGTCAAATAAGACAGTTAAACAAGCAAATAACATTACACCGGCGAGGGTCAAAGTTACACCATCCACAACGAGGGTAAAAATGTTAAAATAAATGTCAATACAATCAAATAAAAGTGATCGGGAGGGATTTTCAGATCATTTTTCCGTTACAGTATGACCCGGCCCCAACAACAGTCATTGAGCATGACAAGATTGAGAAAGGAGAGGAAACAGGTAGTCAGAAATTTGGAATAAAAACGGGGAGCTGGTGCCGAAAAATCTGAACAGAGAGAAGGAAGCAAATAGAAACCGCTTGGGGTCGGGGACCAGGCGAAAACTGAACAACGAGGACATGCGTCGGGAGGCGAATGTGGTAGAAGAAAACTACTCACAATGTGAGAAGGACCACACATCATTGCCGAGAGATGCTGTTCAGTTTTACCATAGCAAAGAGGGCAAAGAGTAAAGAGCAAACGCTAGCCTACTTCAAAAATGGAAGTGGTGGGAGAAAAACGAAACATTACATAAACATCAAGAGAAGACAGCACCAAGACGATTAACGCCGCTGCGAGCCAAAATTTTGACAAGGGAACGAGTGTAGTGGGCGTTACTGACAGAAATGAATCTGAGTGGTATATGTCGAGAGGGCGGCAGAAATCATAAGGAATTGCCAGTAGCGGGCAAGGATTCTGCCCAGTAATGACTGTCTTGGTGCTAGGTGTACCATATTTAACGCCCAATGAGCCGCTTGTCGAGGATAAAAGTTCCCCCCTTCGTCTCTGCTTTCGCGTTTCCGTCCACCTATACCCTGGCCAGAGAGGGAAGGTGATTGCACATGGCATTCGTTTACCCCACAGACAATCCGCAGTCGACTTTCCAGGAAATTTTCCTACTAAATACTGGAAGGGCGTTACTAAAGCCCACGGACCATAGAGTAGATTTCCTGAGCCAGTTGAATTCGTAAATATTATTGAAGAGCCGTCGTCTGTTTTATCCGCTAACCCGTCCTTGAGAAATATCTAGTTGTTGATAATGGCAGATTCCTAACACTAAATTGAGGCGAAAACTATGTCTTTGTTGTGTCACAAGTATGAGGATCAAACTAATTACATAATACGTAATGTCCATAGATTATTTTCAGAGAACCTGTTTGAAATGGTGGAGAATATTTGTAGCTCGGGTGGATGATCTTGGTTGTATTGTGTCCTCTGACAGTTCTTCGACAGCTTACTTCATATTGAAGTTAGTGCTGAATATGTCACCTAGAAAGACGGAGAAAGCTCCACGACTAAACAACCCAGCTCAGAGGACACAATACAACCGGGAGAACCCTTCGCCATACTACATATTCGGAATGCCTTATGTAATATGGATGTCCCGCGTAAGTGTTCGGAAACGTTTCCCCAATTTGCAAACGCAAAAAGCTTTCGCCTTACAAACATTCGATTCACTTTCCCTTACTCGAGGAGTAGTTTACCTGAGTTCCGAAATTTTCCAGGCTGACTGGATTTTTGACACATTCAACTAATTTTAATCTCAATCTTTACCGAGGAAATCCCTTATCAGTGTCTGCTTTTAGCCATGTATGTGACCACAGAGCGACTGGATGGTAAAATGGCAGTGCGGTTTCCAGCAGCTTGTTTTGTCATGTCTCTGGTACAATTTCAGATGAGATTTTATCTCTGAACTGTACTTTACGGCTGCCTAAACACTGAGCAACAGTGTCTTAGAATAAGCGAAATACTAATCATGCACACTTCAATGGCCATAATTCCTGAAAGACAGTCTCACTGCAACCCCAAAACTAGAGAATGTTTCTGACGAATATCTCTTTGTTGGTGGGTAAATTGAAAGAAATTATACGAAGACGTTCTCATTGTGAAATGATCAATGGGACCAAATGAGCTGCACCAAGGGCTGGTCTGTGAGCTTGTACCTCATATAGCTGGGCCATTGGCTTTAATACTTAGACTGCCCCTCAGCGTATGTACACTCCTCTATGACTGGAAGAAGGTCGCAGTTACACCTACCTGTAAGCCAGGTTCTTGAAAAAGCACGTCAAATTAAATACCGATAAGTATGACTGGTACAGTGGTAAGAATCCTAGAAAAAGTAATCAGGAAAGCCATTATCGTCTGCCTAGTGAGCCACACTATTGTCAGCGTGGCCTTCGCAGGAAGGTCCGTCTCATGACGAAAACTCTCATAGTCTGGAAAAGTTAAGTCCGAGGATAACAGGTTACTTATATATATCATTTCCGTAGACTTTAGTCAGGCGTTCGACAAGGTAAGGACCCTAAATCTTTCGGGAAACCGTAAATTCTCAGAGTCACTAGCAATCTGCTTCCATGGATCAGAGGCTTCCTTGTTGGTACGAGATAGAGAGTAAAGTTGGATTCTGAGCCCTCCTCTAGGAAGTCGGCGGACAGCAGAGTGCCGGAAGGCATGGTCCTCAGTCCCCTGTTGTTTCTACCATACGTACATGAGAGAAAGAATATCACAAAATCCCATCTGGTTCTATGCACTGATGTAAAAATCTGGGCGGGAATTAAGGATGACGAAAGTGTACATGCACGTCAGACGGATCTAAACGGCCCGTCCACACGGCTGGAGAAATGGCCGATGCCTGTCGAATCAGGTAGATCTGTGGCACGCATATGGGGTGCAGAAATGGCAGCACCTACGATAGTGGCAGGGCTCCTCTAACTTCAGTACTGACCCACGATTATCTAGGAGTCACAGGCAGTTATTATTTGAAAACCGTGATGAACTCTCGAGTAGCCGCAGCTGGGAGTCTCGGGACACTTCAAGCATCACTCAGAATGTGTACAAAAATGTGGTGATATGTTTTCCACCATACATACCTCCTTAGTTAGATCTAAGATGGAAAACTGCATGCAGACCCTATTCCTTGTCTAAATGGTGACTTGGACAATCTGAAAAGAGTTCGGAGGGTAGCCACTGGTATGATGCTTATGCTGGATGGTCTAACTAACGAAGGTTGACCTAGGGAGCTGAGTATCTTCTCTTTATTCCATTAGAGACAGAAAAGAGATTTAACCATGCTATACAGGGATCTAAGAGATGACTTTGGATTTGACTTATCTACTCTTTTTCTTCCCACTTGGTCAGGACATCTCAGTGGCCATTGCAAGAGGATACAAAAACAAAGAGTAAGAATACTGGTCCTGATGTCGACTAATCAACTCCTGTAACTGCATCCCATCCCGTGTCATTAAATGACTCGTTCAAAAGAGGACATGACCAGTTCAGAGACATACAGTAAGGGGTTTAATAAATATGCACACCCTTCGATGCTCAAGCAACAGATATGAAATATAAAGTCTAAATCTCAAATATAACAGGTGATTATTTCGAAAGCCCTCGAGGACAAGGTAAAAACTCCTTTAAAAAATTCCCTGCGAAAGCAAGCTCTTATTTGAATGTCTGTTGATTTCGCTTGTATCTGGCAGTTGTTATATCATCAAGGATCCTTCAGTACATCTTACAATATCTCTGATACCCAAAAAATCAAACTCTTTGAAGTCCAAAGTTCAACAGAAAATGTTTATATTGGACGCGTTTGTTTGATTAACAGCTGGCTTCTAGTTACAATTCAAGATTTGTCAGCATGGTAAGTAGTCGTTTGGGTATTATTTTTGTTTAGACCAAAATACGTGCGTCTAAGTTACGTGGTAAACCCGAATCTGAGCTACAAAAACAGCTTGGAGAGTTGAAGACAGAACTTGGAAACCTTCGTTTGTATCGCGTTACTAGAGGTACATCCTACCATGGAAAGTTGAAGAAAATGTAGGTAAACCATAAAGTAAATATTAAGATTCTTACAGTCGAACTCTCCGGAAGTCGATAGCACGTGTGTATACTGTCATTCATCAGGCTCAGAAATTGCGTCAGAGGGAAGCCTACCGTTCGAAAAAATATGTACCAAAGGACTTGAGACCAAAGAAAACTCGAGCCATACGAAGAAGGTTAACAAAAAAAGAACAGTCCATCCACTCTGCGCGGTCAATGCGTAAGGCACGAGCATTCCCAAGACGTGTTTTTGCAATTAAGTGCTGATGAATATAGGTATTGTCTGGCACTAAGTTCATTTTCGTAACATTAAAAATTGGTCGTCCGGTCTTTCTTGTTTCTGAGAGCTAACGCCTATCTCGAGTGGTTGTACAAAGATCCGATGATGCCTCCTCACTATGATTCCGTTTCATAGCTGCATTGGTTACGAATGTTTAGTGGTTTTAAAGGTTTCCTATCGGGTTATAACAGGTAAAGACTGCTAAAGATTGTATATGCCTGGGTAGTGGTTACATCAGTCATTCGGTATCAGTGTGATCGGAATAGTAGTCTGCCCAGCTATCACTTAATGACTTATTGAATGCTTTAGGCATTTGTAATTCTAGACATAAGCATTTTAGCGAACCTAACGCCTATCCTTGCTATTTAACTTATCTGATAAATACCTTATTTGAAATGATTTCTTATCATCCGCAGTATCGACGGAATTACTGGAGTCCAATTGTTTGAGCTCTTAATACTGGATCCAGTAAATGCTACTGTTTCACTGTGATATTTCTAATAAACAGACAAATGTTTGAGGCCTTATCTAACGGACTATAGCTTGTAGGTACGGTGTAAGGTTATATCGCCAAAAAATATGCGGTACTAGACTGATGTGCTTGGTCGTGTTTGTTAACGAATGCCACTGTGGCTTTGTTAACCGATTGAATGTGTTTCGTGAGAGCATGAACGGATTGTAATTGTCTTGAGAAATATTCATAGTGCGCGTTTAAAAGCCTCTGGAGCATTCGAAGCAAGTCCGTAAAGCATATTAGACATTCAGGCTGCTAAGATTATTCGTCTCTACCTTTAGAGGGACCATATAGCTTGATACCTGGAGACGGTAATGTCTATGAGTCGGCCCCAGTGATTCTAACTACAACTTGAGTGTTTCTTCTAGAAGTGACATGAACATTGTCTTTGAATGCTCAAGTTGGAAATCACCTTACTGTTGATTCACTTTCTTTTCCTAGATCACTTCGTCCTAACATTGCCATAATATTCGTATAGCACCTTCTGATGCCAGTTTCTTTCCATTTTGTTTTAAATAAATAGAGTTAGTTTGCGGAATTCAGTTTGCATTTAGGTTCAAAAAAAGCCTAAACTACTTTATACTTGTATCGCCAATGGTCACTTAGTCTTCTAAATATTCATTGTCAGCTTGATGAAACCACTAGCGTCGCCTGGTTTTTCAATATTTTGGTCATGAGTTCCTGACATTTAACTCAAGTAAATAGCTGTGTTTCGTGTCGTGTTAACCCTTCATAAGTATTCCCTTTAACTAATAAGCACCAATCTTATCGAGCTGAGTTCAGAATTGGTGATTAAACTCGTGCTTCATAAAAGGTTAGGCGTAACAGTAGGTCGAGGTCGTATGGCCGTTAGCTGGATGGGATGTGACAACAGTAAGGTGTTCCCTTTGAATGGCCATGCTGATATTGCCTTCTCAGTGGAAGGGTTGGGGGTAGAAAAAAATCGGTCCCCAAAGTAACTCCGCTAAACCCTAATATCTGCCGGCAGTGCTGGTTCATTTGTCGTTTCTTTTCGACCATCCAGCCCCAGAAGTTCAAAATAATCGTGCTAAAAAGTCTGTTTAACAGGCCTAAAGCAGATGTCCGATGGGCTCTGCAGTCACAAATCTCTTTCAGGTACCTTGGGAAGAAATAACCTTCCACGGTGTGAGCAGCCGGGAAGTGGCAACCGCCCTCACAACTCTGTCAGTTCTCAAGTCTCTCCAGACTGCTATCCATCTCCTCTATCATTACCTTTCTTCACTCCTCTCAACTAACGATACTACATCATCCTCAATTCCTCCTAGCTCTGTAGCCTTCGAAAACGATTTGAGTCCACAGAACAGCGTCCCTGGTCTCCTTAAACCACGCTCGTGATTAAATATTGATCCTTCAATGTCCGCACCCTCCGTCAAATTGGTCAACAGGCTTCGTTGGCAAAGACTAGCAATTCAGGCCGCGGATGTGTGCTGTGTTTGTGAGACACGCATACAGGACCCAAGTGCGGTTATTCGCCTGACCTCTCTCGGCCAATCTGGTGAGTCCGCAAAATTCACGCTTCGAGTTTCTGGAGATTCGATAGCTAGCTCTTGGGATCTTGCATGTGTAGACGTGACATTAAGCACTAGGGCAGAAAACTCACTACTAGTCTGGATCGCAGTTGATAGTCGCCTCTGCGCTATCCGAATGAACTGCACAGTGAGACTTGTCATTGTCTCTTTGTAATCTCTGCTTACGCACCCACTGGCTATAGTGAAGGACGGGTTCTATCGTAAACTGTCAAGCCTCGTTTCGAAAGCCAAACGATAAGACGTGGTGGTTGTTGCAGATGACTTCAATGCAGAGGTGGGTAGGGTGAGTGAGGCAGAAAAGTACTTAGTTGGCACTTTCGGAGTCCCGGCTGAACCTACAGATAACGGTGATCGCCTACTACAGCTGTGCTAGGATAACCGCCTATTCGTAGCTAGCACAAATTTCGGACATAAAGAAAGACTTTTACATGGCGTCCACCGAGCTCAACTCGGCGATGGACACAGATAGATCGCATTGCCATTAGTCATAGATGGAGAAAATCTGTGGAAGACTCACTCCTTCTGGAATACATGCTTGGATAGCGACCACGCGTTGGTCCGAGCGCGCATATGCCTGCGTCTTAATGGACGTAAGGGAAATTTGGCAACAAAACCACTATGAGTGCTGCTGGACAACGAAAACGCCAAAGCCGTATTCAGTGGGAGGTTGGTTAGGCAGTTATCGGAACAGAAGACTATCACTCATCCAGAGGAAGCTCGATGCCATCCCGAGTCTGCTGCAAAAGCAACACTGAAGACCGTATCACTGGCTAAAAAGAGCCAGTCGATATCAACTGCTTCTTCCGAACTGACGGATTCATGTGAACGGATCCCTGCAGGCTCTGAGTGCGACGAAGAGCGAGCGCAACTTAAGAGTAGATTGAGAAGAAGTCTGCGCAACGACCGCAAACAGTGGTGGGCAGCGAAGGCTAAAGAGATGGAAAAGATGGTGGCGATTGGTAACGGTAGACAGTTATTTAGACTTATTAAGGAAACTGGGGGAAAAAGGTCAACAACATTTAGTGAGGCTATAGCGGAAAAGAACGGGTCTGGGATTCACTCAGAGGAGACGACTGGAACGATAGGTAGAATACTTCGAGGGACAGTTTACCTGGCCTCCAGCCACCATTATGTTGCCCGCTATCCAGTCAGATCCTGAATGTAACATTGAGATAGGCCCACCCAATACCTGCAAAAGTCGAGAGGGCTGTGGGCAACCTGAAGCGAGGAAGGGCATCAGGACAGGACGGACTAACTCCAGAGGTATACAAGGATGGTGGTGAGGTGCTCTTAGGTTAACGGAAGTGTTAACCAGTATATGGGAATCAAATACGATCCCCTCTGACTAGTCTGAATCACTTATTGTCCCAATCTTCAAGAAAGGCGAGAAGTCCTCTTGTGATAACCACAGAGGAATCAGCCTGACGAACATAGTGTCCAAGATCCTCAGTTCTATAATTCTTCGTCGCCTGATTGGAACTCGGGAACGGCAAGCCCGAGTAAATCAGGCAGACTTTAGACCCAACCGCGGGTGTATCGACTAAATATTCACACACAGGCACGCTTACCAACGCCCGACAATAGCTGTATTTCTCGACCTGAAGGCGGGATTCGACCCCGTTGTTCTAGAAGTCTTATGGCAGTGTCTGTCAGTGAAAGGCGTGCCGAGTGAGTACATCACCTTATTGAAGGCTCTCTACTCGAACGCTTGTGGGCATGTACGAGCCCACGGTGAGACGTCCAAGGAGCTATGCTCATCGAGTGGTCTCCGTCAAGGGCGCCCACTGTCTCCATTCCTATTCAATTTTATCATAGGTATTCTCATGGAGGTCTTCTAGTCACCAGGTTACACAGACGTTGACCTAACCAGTGGGGAATTTTCGTTAGACCTGGAATATGCAGATGACATAGTCCTGTTAAGTGAAGACACTGACAAGATACAGAGTCTTCTGAACACTGACTGGTAATTTGAGGATTTTTGGGATGCGTTTCTCACCGCCCAAATGCAAATTGTTGCTCCAGAATTGGTCTTCAACGGTGCCTTGGCTAACAATAGTGATTAGAGTGGTTTAGTGTGCCGACTACTTCACTTACCTGGGAAGTAGGATCAGCCCTGTTGCACTGGTCAGTGGTCGATGAAATCTCTGCACGGATACAAAAGGCTCGGCTGGCTTTCGCCAACTTACGCCGCCGTGATATCCGATTGTCTACTAAGGGTCGCGTATACTGCACAGCAGTCAGCTCTGTTCTACTGTATGGCTGTGAAATATGGCCATTGAGAGTGGAAGACATGAGAGAGCCTCAGGTGTTTGACCGTCGTTGCCTCCGTAGTATAGGCCGTATTCCGTAGTGTCACCACGTAACACAGAAGTCAGGTGTAGAGTTTTAGGGAGAAGGGGTAAGTCGGTTGACGAGGTTGTGAACCTTCATCGACAGAGATGGTTGGGACACGTGTTACGCATGCCTAGTCACCGATTGCCTCGTCACACAATGTTGTCTGAAGTAGGCTCAGGCTGGAAAAAGGTCCGAGGTGGTCAGACTAAAGCATGGCACCGATGTATGAAGTCCTTGACTGTTGGTTTGAGCCATGTGGAGCTATGCAGACTAGGTGATATGGCTCAGAACCGATGTCAGTGGCGCAGATGTATACTCACATTATCCTCATCCTAACGACGCTATACCGAATCTCACCATTTCCCATTCTTGCTTTCTTTTTTCGTACTTCACTCGATGTACTGATATGAGGTGTGGCAACTCAGAACGTTACGCAGTAATACCCAGTCCTATGTTGTTGCAGATGATGATAATGTTCCTGGGAGGGAGTTGCACTAGGGGTCGACTGCAGGAAGATGACCACTTTTCTGGGCTGCTTTTGTCCTACCTGTTACGTTTAAATCAGCTGCTTAGGTTGGGAGCATATTGCTGTCGAGATCATCGATAGATATGCTACACAGTCCTTGAACAGGCACAATTGTAAATCTCATTA